TTATTCCTACTGAATTCCCTCTTAATATATTCTGCCCAACAACGTAGTTTTCAAGATGCTCTGTACACCTACTGTACACATACAATGTGTGTGATAGCCTTCCTAGTTTGGGCTACCTGAACATTTTATGAGCATAGCATCTATGATTTTATCAGAGTTTTTGATAAAAAATACTAAACAACACAGTGCCAACAACAGATTGCTGGGATATAGGAGTCCTCTTGTCACTTTGAAACTGAAGCATTAACAGCTACTCTGAGTCTGGCCAGCCAACCAGTTTTGACTCCATCTGATTGTAGTGTCTAATCTGTATCTCTTCATAATCTCCACAAAAATGAAATATTTTATCAAAAGTTTTTTTTCTAAAATCTTGGTAAACTCTATCAATTGTATTCCCTCCATCTATTAGTTTAGTAATCCTGTTTTTTTTTTAAAGAAATGAAATCTATCTAGCATGTCTATTTTCAGTGAAGCCATAGCTGGCTCTCTCTTTGCAATCACTAAACATTCACCCTCTCTTCAATGATCCAGTTGTGAACCTCTCCAGTAGTATAAGTCAAGCTTGTTGGCAGACTATTCTGTCCTCTTTTGAAAATCAATTTTGTGGTACCTCTCTAATTTTCCACCATTTTTCAAATACCAGTGACAGTAGCTCAGAAATTACATCTGCCAGTTCTTTTAGGACTTAAGGATATAGTTTATTTGGTCCAGGTGATTTTAATTTATCAAAAGCACCTAGGTGCTATCTTATCTCCTTATTTCTCTTGGGAATTATTGACTCCCTGATGGTTATTTTTATTCTATGATTTCCAGTGCAAAGCCCATTCTCTTTCAACAGAGAAAAACAGGAAAAGAATAATTGAGTGCATCTACCTCTTCTTACGTTATCTTTGTCCTATCCACTCTAAGGAAAAGTCTTGCCACTTCTTTCTCATTTTTTTTTTTACAATACAGCTCTAAAAAACTACTCCTTTTTGTTGCTCTTGTCTTATTTTGCCAGCCTCAGTTCATCCTGAGCCTTCATAGTCCTGACGATATCATTTCAGAACTGTGTAACACTTACATATTTCTTTTGTCCCTGGGCTTGCTTCAATGTTTTGTACCTTTCTTTTTAACATAGAAGATGGTTGATAAATTTCCTGTGCATCTTCATTGGTCTCTTTAGACACATTCCATTTTTTCCCTCCTCATTAGAACCGTTTCCTTTTGTGTCTTCAGAACTTCATTCTTGAACCTCTTTCATCCCTATTTGTCTGACTTCTCCTGAAGCATTTTGCTCCCTGAAATCTGTCCTATTTATCTGTGAACTCTTTGAAATCTGCTTTCCCATAGTCTATGGGGCGTGTCACACTAGGTCCAAATTTACTTTCCTTGTTTATGACAAATTCTAGAATGAAATCATTGCTTTCCCTTCAAGGTTAACATCATCTTCCCCCTCTCCCAAAGCAACTACTTAACTCCTTTATAATTTTTAGGTTTCTCTGAATTCCTCACATCCATTTTTCTTATCTTGCAATAATATTCCATTAAGAAAATTTGTATAGACCTTCCCAAATAATAGGGACTCACTTTCTTTCAAATTATTTGTTACCACAAAAAGCAAAGACACTTTTCTTGATAACTTCAGAACCCAGATTGTTATTCCTCTCTTAACCCATTCCTCATCTCCTGCTACCATCCTGAGTGACAGGCCTCCATACTGATGACCCATCTGAAAACCTGATTGCAAAGGCTTTTATCCTTCTTAGTTTTCTGCATCTCCATTCATCACCACAGCCACACTGTATTAGTCTTTATCAGTTACCTTTGACCTCTAAGATCAATTTGCTATGCCCCATCTCTGACGACCTCCTTTTTACCTGGTACCCCTGCACTTTCACACTCATGGAACCATCTGTTTCCCTTTGTTAGGATTTCTAATTGCTCAGTGTCTATCAATTATTTGACTTCTGACTACACTGGATTCCCTGTAAGGCTTGGATTTCAGAGTAAGTCAGTCATTTCAATTCTTCCCTCACTAATATTCCAGGTTCCAGTGGAGTTCTATGGTACATATCCCCAAGCCCAGACCTTCCTAACTTATTGCTTTTATCCTTAATTTTTACCGTAAAAAGACAATTTGAAATTAGGTTATCTCTAAAGTATCCTCCAGCTCTGATGATAACATTCTAGTAAATCACTGAGCCATAGAAATTTGGCCCTCTAAGTTCATGCAATGCAGTTTCTCACTAATGCTTAGCAATTATTTTATCCTTCTCTTGTGATTCTCTAGCACAATTTGCACACTACTGTTCCAAACAGTCACTATTTTTTGACCAACTACCAATGCCACCTTAGACTCTACTCTTGATAGATAAACATTTTTTTAACTGAGAAATCATAGGATCATGGATTTAGAGTGATAAATCATCTCAGAGGTAATCTGGTCAGAAACATCCATGCACACACACTCATTTTACAGATGAGAACTATAACATCTGCACCACCAAAATTTCTATATTTCATTCTCTCCCATCTCTGGCCTCTCTCTAAAGGACTCAATCTCTATAGATTATAAACTTGATCAAAGGCAAGGGCCATGATTTATTAATTATTCATTAATAATTATATATTAATCCTTGTACTTGCCTGATAGAATCATGCTTTGGGTGTGCTAAACTCAATAAATGGTGTTTAACTGAATTGATCCCCATCATCCTTTCCTCTTCAAACAACCCCTAATCATAATCTTCCCTGCTCCACAAGATCCTTTTCCTTTGCCTTTAAACCTTCTTCAATCCTGCAAGTTACTATATATGTTGTTTATCTCTCAGGATACTTATTTTGCTCTTTCCATTTCACTGCCAGACTTCTCAAACATGGGTTGCACAACCAAGGATCAACTACCCAGCAAAACTGAGCTTAATCTTTCAGGGGAGGAGATGGATACTCAATGAAATAGGGCACTTCCAACCCTTCCTTATGAAAAGGCCAGAGCTCAACAGAAAATTTGACCTTCAAGTACAAGACTCAAGAGAAGTATAAAAAGGTAAACAAGAAAGAAAAAAATATCCCCAGTTAAATACCAAATTAGAAATTCTGCAACCAAAGGAGAGATTAATAAAACTGAAATTAAGAAAACTATTGAAGTAATAAATAAAACTAAGAGTTGGGTTTATGAAAAAATCAACAAAATAGATAAATCTTTGGTTAATTTGATTTTTTAAAAATAAAGAAGAAAACCAAATTACCAGCATCAAAAATTAAAAGGGTAAATTCACCACCAATGAAGAAGAAATCAAAACAATAATTAGGAGCTATTTTGCCCAACTGTATGATAATAAATTTGACAATCTTACTGAAATGGATGTATATTTACAAAAATACAAATTGCCCAGATTAACAGAAGAGGAAATAAAATACTTAACCCCATTTCAGAAAAAGAAATTGAACAAGTCAAATCATTTGACAATTGCTCATGTCCACTCTGTCTTGCATATACAACGATTACATTATTTCATAACTTTGCATGTGTATGTTTTTTTTTTCTGATTAATTAAACTTTAAGGTCCTTGGAGATAGATATTGTGCTTATTTGTAATTGACTTAACAATAGGTGACAAACTATTTTCCCTCTAAATTCTGAGGCTGGTAGCCTGACTACTATTACCTTCATTTGAAAGAGAAAATGAGGCCCAGAGTGATGACACAATTGTGTAACCTCCAGTCACTTAACTGAAGACCAAAACCAGTTTCCTCATTTATAAAATAGAAATAACTCTTCCTTAAGAGGGTTGTTGTAAGGATGAAATAAGGTAACATTTGTAAATAACCTTGCAAAATTTAGCTAAATTTGTTGTTTTTACTATGTAACTTGTCCACAGTCACAAAGATTGCAGAGACAGGGTAGGGCTAAGAGAAGTATTTTGTATCTTTTGACTAAAATGCAGGGTTTTTCTTTCCACTAAACCATATTGCAATACTAAGAGAATCCCCAATCTGTCAATCAATCAACGACTCAAAAACATTTATTAAATACCTGCCATATGTCAGGGGTCTCTCCTAAGCTCTGGGGATGCTGATACTAAAAAGTCAAACCTCTACTTTCAAGAAGTTTTACATTCTGTCAAGAACAAAATTTTGGAAAAGTGCCTAAGAAATCACATGACCCAACTTTCTTCTTTTACACCAGAGAACAGATAACAGGAAGGTGACTTCTTCAAGGTCACCCAGCCAGTTTGTGATCTTGGACAACACCGGTACAGTGAAAAATGCACTACTTTCTCAGAGAGCTAAGGTTCAGATCCTTCCTCTTTAGAGCTTACAATCTGTGTGACCTTGGGCAAGTCACTTAACCTCCTTGGGCCTCAGTTTCCTCAAATGTAAAATTAGGGAGCTGGACTAGACGGCTTTGGGGCTTACTGGGAACCCTCATCTATGTCAGTTTTTTTAGATTTTTTTTAAGATAGATACCTGTATTTCAGAGTAATTGGTTTCCTTTGAAATCCTACGCATTTTATGCATTCACAAACATTATTCTAAGGAAGAATCCATGGGCTTCGCAAATCCTCCAAAGGAGTTCTGAAACACCCACAAAAAGGTTAAGAAACTGTGCTCTATACTAAGTGTCATCACACAAACTGTACAATGTTTTAAAACATATTAAAAAACACACACAAAACTGGAGGTAACTTAGAATCAAGGAATCCTTTAAAATGAAACTATCTGAGAAGGCTCCCCGCACATCCAATCGCCTACCACGAGGTGACCACCGATCGCAGCATCATTAAGAGGTTCAGCTTCTCCCAAGAGAAAGGGCGGGGGAGGCTTCCAGAAGCGCGCTCACGTGGCGCCGCATTAAGTAGTTCTGCTTCCCCTCCCAAGAGGGCGGAAGGAGCGCCGCGTTCCATGACCCTAGCACGCCCCCGGACAAAGGCGCTCTCACGTGACGGCCCAGCGGTTCATAAGAGCACTAGGCGAGGCCACGCGGAGGATTCGTCGAGATAGCGGCGGCTTAGGGTGAGGCGTTCTCGTTACGCGGCAGCGGCGGAAGGGGGGCCGCGAGGCGGCGGTGGGGAGGGGGCACCCCCGAGGCAGAAGGGGTGCGGAGAGGCCTGAGGCGGCCAAGGGGAAACTGGCGCTGAGCACCCCAGGCGAAGGCACCTCGGGCTTTGCCCTACAGCGGAGCATTCTGGGCCGGGCAGCATGGACCTTCACCCTTCCGTGACCAGCCGCTACCAAGTGCTTCGCAACGAAGAGAACGACCGGGAACCGCCGGCCGTGGAGCAGCCCTCCACGCCCATGCACATCACACCCATGACGGCCCCTCCGACGCCCGCGACTTCGCCTTCTGCCCCCGGACCGCCATTACCTGAATGGAGCCCCTCCCCTCTACCCTACGGCCCGTTTCCCGCGAAGGCCCAGACCAGCCCGGAGCCCAAGGGCCCCTGCGAGCCGTTCCCGGTGCCGCCGCCCTACAGTGTGGCCACGTCCCTGCCCTCTTACGACGAAGCGGAGAGGGCCAAAGCAGCGGCCCTGGCCGCCAGCGCCGGCGCCTCCAGGGAGCCCTCCCAGGGAGAGGATGTCTTCTCTTCGAGGGAGGCCTCGACCATCTCGGATCCTGACCCGCTGCGGGTGGGCAACGACGGCATCTTCATGGTAGCCTTCTTCATGGCCTTCATCTTCAACTGGGTGGGCTTTTGTTTATCCTTCTGTACCACCAGCTCCATAGCGGGGAGGTACGGTGCCCTCTGTGGGTTTGGCCTTTCCTTGACCAAGTGGATCCTCATCGTCCGCTTCTCCGATTACTTTCCCTTGTACTTCAATGGACAGTACTGGCTTTGGTGGATATTTCTTTTGATTAGCCTCCTGCTTTTCTTCAGAGGATTTTACAGTTACCTTAAAGTCAGGAACATGTCTGAAAGGTTGGCCACTGCCAATAGAACAAGATATATCTTCGCAAATTAAGAGATGCATTGGGCCAGTCATTTCTTTCCTCTACCACTGAAATCTCCAGATGATCTGTAATTCTCCAACTTATTGGTGTGGAAGACTACTAATAATAGAAGATGGAAGAAATAGAGGCTTCAAAATAAATGACAGGGTGCTTAAATTTCAGTTATGTTGTCTTAAACATTTATGTTTTGGTTTTTGCTTTGTTTGGCATATTTGCGTAGTTAAGAGGGAGACCTTACATTAAATACCATGGTGTAAATGATGGAGGAAAAATGCAGTAGGGCTTTGTTAACAAGTCTTGCAGTTATACTAAAATGAATGTTAAGCCCTTATGATATGTGTAATTCTAGTTAATCTTATAAAGGAATGGTAATCATCACATATATAAAACAGTTATTAATGCAAAACTTGTCGAATTTTTTTCCCTAGATTACCAGATGAACTCAGATGAGTGGACTAAATATGCTCACTTTAATGGACAGAAATCCATATGGTGATAATTATGCGTATAAAAAAATTACTTGCAATACTAATTAAAGGAAGGGTTTTTTTTCTTTTAAAACTTGGTCCAGGGTGTTGTCATACTCCAAAATTACTTACATGCATAATTCATTTATTTTCCAAAGAATTTGTCCAAGAAGTTCTATTTCAACTTGAATTCAAGTTACTCTTAATATCATAAAAACCATTATGTCGCTAACAATTGGAGTATTTAAAGATTGTTTTGGGCAAATACTATGAGAGGGTAAGGGTACTATCTGTCGAATGGCCTTTTGAAGAAAATCTTCTCTTTTGTTTTAGTGTTACCTAAAGAGGAACTTGGGTTCTAACTTGGCCCATCTTAAAGGGTTTTTGATAGAAACCTGAGATGTTTCATTTCATTAATTCTTTGTAAAATCATCTTTTCTAAGTTTGCTTTTTAAAAATTTTTTAACATTTTTAGTTGAAGTTTTGAGTTCTAAATTCTATTTCCGCCCCCCAACTGTAAGGAAGTAGATATAGGTTATGTACCTGTTCAGTTATCTAAAACGTTCACGTACTAGTCATTTTGTTCCAGAAGACATGGATGAAAGAAAGTGGAAAAATAGCATGCTTCAGTCTATTCAAACAGTATCAATTCTTTCTCTGGAGGCTGATAGTATACTTCATCAGTAGTCCTTTGGGATTGTCTTGGATCACGGTATTGCTGAGAATAGCTAAGTGATTCACAATTCTTTGTCAAACAATATTGCTGTTAATGTGTACAACGTTGTCTTGGTTCTCTTCACTTCACTGTGCATCAGTTCATATGAGTCCTAGTTTCTGAAATCATCCTGCTTGTTATTTTTTATAGCACAGTAATATTCCATTATAATCATATACCACAGCTTATTTAGCCATTCCCCAATTGATGGACATCCATTCATTTCCAATTCTTACCACCATAGAAAGAGCTGCCATAAATAAGTTCTTAAGAATTTTCTTTTGTAAAAAAGAGTGGCCTCTTGGATATACTTTACTACAGACTTTTCTTGTCCTTTGGTAGCTTTTTTTTTATTTAAGTTAACAAAAAGTGCAATGTTGATATCTTATTGCTTTGCAGTGTTGCAGTTACCCACACACACACACACACACACACACACACACACACACACACACACACACACACGAAAATGACCTCATATCAAGAAGTATAAGATTTTTCTTTTTGATATGATTTACCCATAGGCTATGTGCTGTATTTTAAGAATAGACCACGTCAACCACAATTGTTATAATTGGAATTCAGAAACTAATGCACTTTGTAGCTTGTCAAGAATTTCTTTTTAAAATTACATTTTACCTAACAGTAAAAAAAAATGGGATCTATGTTGTCTTTTAAAATTAACAACATAAAATGGTAAAATTTGGTAAGTTTATTTGCTGAAGAAAAATATAAACTTCAAGGACAAACGCTCTATGAAAAATTTATTTTACATATATATTTGTGAGTTAAACTATTTTCTAGCCTTTTCCATATCTTTATAAATGGTATCATTATGAGAGTTGGAAGAGGTCAAATTTATTAGAACCTACCATATTTATGGGAACTTAGGATGCCTTTTAACATTATGCCTTCTGGGGAGAGAAAAGTTTTAGAAGGTTTAGCTAGTAGTTTTCCAGACAAGCAACATCCTTGAAGGGTTGATTTTTGTTTTATCTCCTCTGTTTCCACAACTATGTGAGTTCTAATCCCATATAAACAGAATAGACCTGAGGTGATTACAGATAGGTGAGGTGAGCACTCAAAGCCATAAACCCTGAAAGCTTAATAACTTTCTGAGATGATCAGGAGCTTAACAGTCTTTTTCTGTGATTGACATGGAATGACTACTCCTGTTGAGATTTGGGAGTTGGGTTTGGGGTGAGGGGAGGGAGTGTCAACTTATGAAACCTGATCAGTAGAGGTCTGAGCTACTTTCTATTTCAGCGCCTTGTTTCAGTGGATAATTGGTGTTACTTGGATTACTTGGCAGCCCTAAATACTAATTAGGGGTTTAGATGGGGGCTATTTTAATTAGCCACTCTATCAGTGGACTTGAACAATTGCCCACTGGGATATAAAGGCAAAAGTGAAACTGTCCCTGCCTTGGAGTGGTTAGGGGTAAGGGATGAGAAGAATGAAGTATATCACAAACAAGCCAATCTGAAGAAGGATAAAGCAGTAGCAAAGAAGGGGGAGGTGGAAGTATACATAAAAGCTTGGAGGAGGAGATAATGCCTGAGTTTACGGAGCCTGTAAGTGGCAGAAGTGAGGAAGGAATAGCATTCCAGGCACACATAAGGGCTACGTCACCTGTTTGAAGGTAAAGAGATAGGATATGGAAGACTATGGAGAGCAAGAAAAGTTGTTTTATCTTGTTAGAAATGATATTTAATAGGCATTAGGGAACCTCTGAACATTTTGGAGTAGCAGACCTGGGGTTTAAGCCAATGCTTTGCAGCTGTATGGAGCAGGAATTGCAGAGGGAAAAGATTGTAATGGGAGGAAGACCAATTGGGAAATAATAATAGTCTAGTGAGAAGTGATGTGGAAATGAACTAAAGAAGTTGCCCTGTAAGGGAAGAGAAGGATTTGGATAAGATGTTATTAGGGTAGTCAACTAAATGTGCAACCAAAAAGAATGACTGTGCACTTAAAAACCTTGGTGACTGAGAAGATGGTGGTATCAACACAAATTAGAAAGTTTAGAGGAGAGAAAGGTTTGAGGAAAGATGTTGAGTTCCATTTTGTACGTGTGATGTAAAGGGTGCTCGATTGGAAAGAAGAGGACATGGATTCAAATCCAGGCTCTACCACTTCACATCTGTATTAACCTGAGCAAGTCAGTTCACTTCCCTCAGGCTCATTTTCTTTATCTGTAAAATGAGAGAGTAAGACTAGTTTACATCTAAGGCACCTTCCTGCTCCAAATCTAAATCTGATATCCTTTGTTGTTTGAGAATCCCAGCAAGTAAATTGGTGATACTTTGTGTAGAGTTCAAGAAATCAGGGCTGATTATATAAATAGATTTGGGAGTCATTTGTATGGAGAAAATAAGCCCATGAAAGGAGGAAGGAAAAGGAGAGAGCAGAAAGAAGTTAGTAATCTTTGAGAAAGCACTTTCAGGGGAACACTGGGTCTAGAAGTTATAGGTTCAAGGAGTTGAAAAGAGAGTGGATGTTGAGGAAGTAGAGATTAATCTTTTTAGGATTTGGCAGTGAAATGGGTGTAAATTATAGGATGGTGGCTTAATGGGGTGACATGGTCCAGTAGAGGAATTTTAAAGACAGGTGAGATCTGTGCAGTTTTGCAGTGAAGAAGAATCACAGGGTGATGTCTTGACTTATGCATGAATTGGATTTAAGTGAGGCAGAGTTGCATGAAGTCATCAGCCTCACTCTTCCAGAGTTGTCAAAGTCTAGTGGCAAGATGAAAATCAGAACAACTATCAATGGCCTGGAATACAGTGGATGACCTTGGCATCTTCAGTGTCTGACCAAGCTCTAAGCCTTCTACATCACTTGCTTGCTATTGGAACAAATTGTTTCAATTTGCCCATTCTGCCAGGGAAAGCCTTCACATGCTTGGGATAGACACCCTGCTAACTCACTGAGGCTTTGAGGCCTATCAGTTAACCTCAACTTGCCAGTTGGCCCACACAGTTTTACCAGGATGTGGCCACTGCAGATGCTACAGCTTGAAGCCACAGGTGAGAGAGTTGGGTGACAGGTGGATACCAAAGGTGGATAAGCAGCTTTGAAAAGGCCTCAGCAGGCCCTCAGAGCAGAGGTGCTAATCCTCCCTGAACACCCAATGTACTATAAGAAGAAACTAGTATAGAATTGGTTGAAGATGAAAGAGAGAGAAGGAATAATTGAAGGGACAATATTAAGCAAGAAATAAGAGAGAATGTAATCAATCAACAGCACAAGTTGACCAGAAGTGAAAAACTTTTCATTTCAGTTGGATGAGATTCATCTAATCTTGTATTCTTTGATATTTCTTTTAGAGTCTCTTCCAGGGATGTGCTGGAGTCAGTTTAGACTAGCATTCAAAAAGCAGTTAAAATTTCAGGGCAAGCATTTACACCTTGGAAATCAGCAATTCCTGCAACTCAGGACCTGATTTATTATTTTGTAAATTATCTAGACTTAAGAAGTGATGGAAAAAAATGTTAATAAAGCAAATTAAACTTAAAAGTGTGTAGGTCAATTTAAATGGAAATGGGCAGATAGAAATTGTGACTTGCCCAGCTTTAGAGCTAGTCTTCTGACTTCAGTCCCAGTGCTCTATCAGCTGTGCCACCTGGCTGCCATCAAATGCATGCACATGATCAGAATTCTGAGTTTCCTCTATCCTACAATAACCTCCTGTCATTTCACCTCTCCCTTGACCTTATTTTTCCTAAACCTATTCTTTGTGTTCCATGTGACATCTAGTTCCTACCTACTTGTCTACCCATACTCTCCAAGACCATCATCCTTGCACTAACTTCACTTTCTCTCCATATCTTGACCCTAACCAGTTCAATTTTACACTGCCTACTACTTGAATCCTTCCTTCTACCTTTGTTTTGTTAAAATTCATGCTTTGCCAAATCCCAGTCTTAGATCACCACCACCATTCGCCTCCTGCACTCCTCATCCCGGTACTAAAGTA